CTCATTGACTTAAAGTGTTCTTGTTTATATAAATATATTTGTGGACAATGTTATACTTAAGGAAATGGTAGCTTTGCCTTGCCCCAGGGGTTGTCGCGTATAGAGTTCCCTGCTTTATCAGCCGAGGTATGGTGTGTTAAAGTGGCCCTTGGACAATCGCGACTGTTCGGACACGCGTGTACGTGCGTGGTTATGTTGGTCAAGCGTCGGCAACTGTCGCCCGCGAAGATACATGACGTTGAGACAGTGGGTATTGAAAAAGAAAGTGGGACAACAACGTTGGCTGTCTGCCACAGACTAAGAAGTCAGAAATGGCTATTCCATCCTCCCTTACTTTTAGAAGAAGTCGTTGCTATCACCGGAATCGTAATTTTATTCCGGTGATCGCAACGACTTCTTCTTCTAGACGAATACCTGGGATGCGAAACTGCCTCTTTTCTCTTGCCTTTGTCGGTACTATGTTTCTGTTAACATATATTCACTGTTGACATTGTGTCTGCGAGAAACTCTCGACGTCCTACTCCCTAAGATTGTTAATGCAATTGCCCACAGGCTAGGTCAGGTCAGGTTTTATTAAGGTAAATGTAGGTAAATACCTTTGAACTCTCTATTGGTACAGCACAGTTCTACAATACATTGGTTCAGCATAGCATTTCAAAAGAATGCTGTTGCCAGTAAATGGAACTGGGTAAAAAAGGGCCGACAGTGAAAAAACTCCTTAGGCTTTGTTCGGAAATTCTAGGGCTTTGAATGCCATTCGAGAGATTTTAAGGAGAAAAACTGTCGCCCGTGGGGAGTAGGAGGAGACTATTCAAGTCAGATGGCCTGTGCTGAGAGTGTTTGCAGCATGTCAGGAGGAGCCCGTCGCGGTTTTTATCGTTATCCTAAGGGTCACGCGAGGAGAAGATTGTGAAGAACGCCATCAAGTGTCAGAGATGCGCCCATCGTACACCCTTGCTGGTTTACCGAGTCTGCCGACCAGGTAACGAAACAGAGGGCCCCACCACGATCCACAGCAGTCGGTTATGGAAAACCAGAGCTTTACAGGGTGACGTAGCCTAGGATCACAAGGTTCGGTAGATGCGATTTTTGCAATTCTTATAAAGAGAAGCGTTTAGTAGTTATTCTAAACAAATATATTACTGAAAGGTAGTGAGTAGTATGTTTTGTAACATGTAATTACTCAGCGGTGCCCTTTCACGTAGCAGTGCTCATTTCAGAGGACGTGGTGCCTATACAGGTCTAACTTCCTCTTGAATGTGTCCACAGATGGGGACATGACAATATCTTCGGGCAGAGCATTCCAAGCTTCAACTACTCTATTAAAAAAGAAGAAATTTCGTGTTTCTAGTCTGGCCCCCGTTACACGTAGTTTGATTGGATGCCCTTTTAAGTTCCTCGTTGTTGCTAACTGGAGGAAGTCACCAGGTAGAAGACAGCAGTCCTGACCGCGCATTTTACGAGATGTTTGTATCAGATCACCACGTAGCTGTCTGTAACTTAACGGAAATAGGTCGAGATTAGCTAAACGTTTTTCGTAGAGTAATGAGCCCTGCCCGGACACTAGTTTTGTCGCGCGCCTTTGAACCTTCTCGCGGGTATTTAGGTCTTTTACGGCCCAGGGTCTCCATGCTTGGATAGTAAACTCCAGTTTCGGCCGCACAAATGTTCCAAAGACCCTAGCGAAGCGGTTTTTATCGAAGGCACAGAAAGCCCGCTTGGCAAGATACAGGACGGACATCGCGGACTTGGCTACTTTTGCGCAATGCTGTGAGGGCTTAAGCGACGTCGAGATCCACAATCCCAAATCCTTCTGCGCGTCCACGTCTTGCAGTTGTATTCATGCAGGCTGTAAACCATGGAATTCGGAGAGCTGGGTCGGCCAACTCGTAGGATACTGCATTTGTTCTCGTTAACCGGCAAAAGCCAGTCTTTAGACCCATTTTGAAGACAGTTTAGGTTTACCTGCAAAAGCTCTTCGTCAGCTACATTTCTGATGACGTTCCAAATCTTAATATCATCGGCAATAAATAGCCACATCGAAATCCAATTCATGGACGCAGTCGTTGACGTACATAATGAACAGTATAGGACCAAGGACACAGCCTTGGGGAACACCGCTCTTGACCGCAACCTCTGCTGACTGCTGTTCACTGATATGGACAGTTTGGGAGCGACCAAGTAGGTAACTTCGAATCCACTTTAGCAGATTTCCTCTAACACCTATTTTGCTGAGTTTGTGCAGAAGTCGTTGATGTGGGACGCTATCAAATGCCTTCTTGAAGTCAGTGTAAAGTACATGAAGGGGATTTCTCCATCAACTGCCCGAGTCCAACGTTCCAAACATTAGATCAAGTTCGTCACGCAGGACCTGCATCTGCGGAATCCATGCTGCGCATCCGAAAGTAGATTATGCTGCTCTAGGAAACGCATCAGCTCGCGCTTTGCTACTTTTTCCATAATATTGCAACAGATCAAAGTAAGGCTGATTGGTCTATAATTGTTTGCGGAAACCTTTCTGTCGCCTTCATACAGCGGTGTGATCCGTGC